ATATACACATACCCATACATTATTAAAGATATACATACATACATGCCTACCTAAATATTGTCAGTATATACACACAGACATATATACACACTCAGTGACCAGTCAGAACCCCCTGGATCAGAACACCTGTCTGTAAGCAGTTGTGAACATGTGTGTATATACAAGATTTCATGCGTGTTTACACAAGATTTCTCTAATGGAATATTTAATAGTGACTGTGGAAGATCGTAGACCCAACCCCCAAGACACGAGGCAGACATAGGGAAGACCAGAGCACAAGGGCCCGAGAGGGATCCAGAGCGCAGAGCCCCAAGGGGCACCCGCATGGGAAGATCTGCCCACCCATCCCCCAGATCAGACCATAGGGGAGAACTGGGAGAGTCCCCCCAGCAACCACACGCACAGCCCCCGGGGTCAGCAGAGACAAACTCATGAGCCCCACCGGCACCCGCCATACCAGAGCAGATCCAGGAAAGGGCACAGAGGTCCGGGGCCCCAGGGCGCACCCCCTCCAGGCCAAAGCCAGACAGGTTCAGAGGTCCCGAGCCCCAGCAGACAGTCACCAGGCCAGGCCGGCACACACCCCAGCGCCCAGCCCCAGACCCCGGGAACCCCCAGCACACCGGCAGCCAGCTGCACACCCCACCGGGGGGCCGAGTAGCAGCGGGCCTCCAGATAAACCAGCAGTAGGGGTAGCCCAGACCGCAGCCTGACAAATACCCAAACATACACAATAGCACCATCCCACCCTCATCCTCACCCCCACTCAATCAAAGACATACAAGGGCGCCACATTCCACTCATACCCCCGATACACACTCTATACCCCCCAGGTCCAGGACATGCACCCACCCCCTATTGGAGGCAGCACACACCCGAACCCAGGAGGTAGACCCAATCATTCTGAGGTGGAGACGAGCAGGTAGCCAAGGCCCGGCCCGGGTCACACCAGGACACCCTGCCAGCCCCCCACCGCAGAGAAGCCATGCCCTTGACCACCCCACCACACCGCCAGCGACCAAGTGCACCCCGCCAGCCATCCACACCCCGGAAC